ATGAAAGAGCATGGCGTTATACAAGAAAACATTTTTTCAATGAACAAATTCAAGATAACATCAACTCTACGATATACAATCGCGATGATAAATAAAGGGTGATGTTCGTTTTGATCAAATACTTTTACAGATAAAAAAATTCTTTTTTATTTCAAATAAAATCCTTGAATAATCTATCGCTTGATTAACAATAAAAAAACACCGAGTTGAAAACGAATTAAATCTCCAAAGCTTTCGTAGTTTCAATAATTTTATCCACAATAAACTAAAAAAGGAAAGAATTCTAGTCGTAAGAGAAAGAAGGGAAGAGAACATACTCGTGCTTCAGCAACGGTTTGATAAGGAATGACTCGAGCATGGATTATATCTTTCTTTGTTATTCCAATTGCATTGGTTTCCTTTTACAAAAAACAAAACAAGAAAATCCAATGAATTTTTATCCAAAGAGAATTACTTTGATAATAAATTCAATATAATTTGGATTGAATTTCACAGTTGGATCTCCTTTAACGTCTTTATAATTGAGAGTCCATTCAACTTTAAAAATTCCTTCTGACGAAGGATCTTCAACTAAGAAAATCACTTGTCTAAAAATACAAATGTCAAAAAAGAATTTTTCTCTTGAATTGAAAAGATTTTACTTTGTCGTTGCAAATAATAGAGAAGGTGGAGTAATTGATGATTCAATATGTGCAATATAACCTTCATTTTCTCCATGAAGAGATTCGTCAAATTTCTAAAACAAAGAAATTCTACTAAATAAAACGATTGACAGACGACGAACATCATAAATGAATTTTCCAAGTGTTTCATGTGCAATTGAAGGTCGAACAATTCCATCTCTTCCAATATGTCTCGGATGTCGAATACGATGAATAATAATTTCATGTGTTGCAACTCTTTAGAAAACAAAATCGTTTTTTTTTCTCCCAAAATATTTCAATTAATTCGATATACTTTTTAATAAGTTTAAATGAAGTACTTGTTAAATCTGCTACTCCACTTGCCGGTCTTCCAACAAGACCAAGAAAACCTTTTCCTAAACCTTTCATAAATCCCTGTGCTCCACCTTGTTTTGCACCTTTCATTGGTTTTTTCACTACACCTTTCACACCTTTAATTACATCCTATTCATTGAAATGAGAAGATCANCTTGACAATGGACAAATCTCGATTGATTTGGCAGATGGCTCACAAGAGAATTGTGATCTACTTATCGTTGCTGACGGTTCAAATAGTGTGGTTCGAAGAGCACTACGACCTGAACATACTTTGAATTTCATAGGTGTTACTTCTATTCTTGCACGTACGCATGCTCTAGATAAACTGCCTGCTCCCCTAGAGAAAACCTTTGGTGGTGCTATTGGCGGCGATGGACATTTTGTTTTCGTTGCATCATCTGATCAAACAAGTGCTCTGTGGGACGTCAGTTATTTATGTGACCCGCCTCGTGAAGCGAAATCGGCTGGAACCATGAATGACAATGAGATCGATGCAGTTTTAGCTGAAGTGAGAGAACGAACGAAAGTACTTAGTGAACCGATTCGTACATTGATAAACGAAACATTGCGAAGTAGCGTTGCTATATTCAAAGCTAAAGATATTGTTCCCTTTCGAAATCATGGATCGGTTATATTTATTGGCGATGCTCAGCGCGCGAGGAGCCCATTTGCTGGCAATGGAGCGAATATGGCTATTATGGATGGATTGTCTGTCAGTTTGGTCCGACGTGAGCAGCAGAACAGAAAAAGGCATAGTATGGAATGAATTCTGATTGATTTAAAACGCAAGGATAAGCTACATACTGTTTTGTATGGAGCGTGTGAATGTAACTTATCTCGACCTCCTATCACGCTCATACATTTATCACATTGGTTAAAACCCAACGCCATCTTTCACTTTTTTCTTACGTACAGAAGGTTGAATGTATTTAAATGTGACTTAATGGCGGTTTAGTATAGATAGTGTCTATCGTCACTGAAATACAATTCATCGATCATTGTTAAAACAAAACCAAAGATTTTCTCATTACAATCATTCGTATTTAGATGCAATTATTTCGATTCACTCGTTTATATTCCACATTTATTGATGTTGGTCTACAAATGAAACAATTAAATGACAAAAAACAGTTTCGGAAGGCACTTTCTTCATTTGACCATTGTTCTACAAAAAAAAGAACTTCTCTAGTTCTTGATCAAGCTCTTCGTGCTTGCATTCATCTGAATGATTTTCAACGGGGAAAAGCTATTCACCAAGAATTGCCTCCAAATTTCCTTAACAATGAATACATTCGCACAACTCTCATTCGTTTATATAGTAAAAGCAAGTTGATTGAAAGAATTCTAATGTTCTTTTCGAACTTTAGTGAAATGTAATGACGTTGATAAAGCACGAGAACTTTTTTCTACAAGTTCAAAAAAATCAATTTTAATGTACAATACAATGATCGAAGGTAATATCAATTGTGTATTTGTTATAGAAATCAGATGATTGAATCTGATTTTTAGGTTTTGGAAAGAATAATCGAGAAAAAGAAGCTTTAAAACTATTTGAAAAGATGTCTGTTGCACCAAATGTCTTTACTTATACTCTTTTGTTTCAACTTTGTACTCAATCATCTGATCATAATGTATTGCAATTTTGTAAAACAATTTGGAAGAAAATGTCAATTGATAATCAAAAGAATCCCTATGTTTCATTTGCATTCTTGAATTTAATCATTAAACATGAACAAATCTCCAATTGGGAAAAGTTTTTTTCTCAAATGGAAAAGAATAATATCATTTATACAGTAATGATGAAAGGTTGAAATATCTATGCTTTGCTTTTGATCATAATTCTCTATTATCGTTTTTCTTCAAGGATATCTTTCAAATGGAATGGCGCAAAAAGCAATTGATCTCTTCTTTCATCTTGATAAGCCTGATGAAATAGTGACGGGAATATTTTTCAATGCATGTGCTCAACTAAACGACAAAACGACGTTGGATTTAGCAGAAAAGGTCTTTTCTCGACTTCGTTCTCCATCTGATCGTCTTCTTCAATCAATTTTCACAATGTATTTTCAACATAAGGATATTCCCAAAGTTGAAATTCTTTTTGAAAAGATAAAACGAGATGTGATTAATTATGGTTCATTAATGAAATTGTACAATGATCAAAATCAATATGAGAAAACTTTGAAATTATTTCAAAGAATGAAAAATGAAAATATTCAAGGAGATTCAACTGTTTTTATATTATTAATCAAGGCTTGTGCAAATATTCGTTTTTTGTCTTTGTCTCAATCGATTGTGAAACAAATTCCACCAAATTTCCTTGCTGATCACTGGTTGCAAAGATCACTGATAGATATGTGGGTAGGTTATTGTTGAAAGCATGGTGGAGAGAAAGAATGAAATGACATTTAGGGAAAATGTGGTTTAGTCGATGAAGCACAACGAGTTTTCAATCGAATTGCTCAACCAAGTATCGTCGCTTTTTCAGCTATGAGTAAGATTTCAATAATTTGATAAAATAATGTTGTTACTTGACTAAATGTCGTAATTAGTCAATGCTTATGGTTTGAATGGAAAAGGAAAACAAGCAATTGAATTATTTCATCAAGTACCAATGAAAATGCTGGATGATCAGATTTATGTTTGTGTATTAAATGCATGTTCTCATTCGGGTTTAATTCAAGAAGCGGAAAACATTTTCAATGAAATTCCTTATGAGAAACGAATTGAAAGTGTCTATGCCAGTATGGTTAGGAGAAGAAACATGTTTTTCGTAAATCGAAATTAATTTTGGAAAATAGATTGATTGTTTTGCTCGTTCATTTCAATTTGATCGTGCACAGCACTTAATTGACGAATTTGAAAAAGATCATTCGCCTTGTCCACATATGTACAGTAAGTATTTCAGATTAATTCAATCAAATTTGACTTAATTTCATTCATTTAGTGACAATGTTATCAAGCGCCAGAAATAAAAAAGATGCCGTCTTAGCTCAACAACTATTCGATCGGATTCGTCTATTATTTTCGGATGAAAAACAGATTCTTTCCTCAGCAACAGTTGTTTTAGCAAATACCTATGGATTAAGTGGAAATTTAGCACGAACATCAGATCTTCGAACAAAAATGGCGGAATCTGGATTGAAGAAAGTGCCTGGACGATCATCGACAATTGTCAATGGCGAAATTGTGGTAAGATTTGTGATAAATTTATTTGTAATCAAAACATGTGTTTTATTCAAGCACTTTTACGCGAATGATCGATCACATCCTCTTTCAGAGAAGCTTTATCATCAACTAGATCAATTAAAAGATGAACTGATTCAACATGGATATCAAGTTGATGAATCTTGGGTCTCAAGACCATTGGTTGATGGTGAAACGAATGAATCTGTTCTATGGACACATTCCGAAAGACTTGCTATTGCTTTTCAATTGATTCAAAATCCTAAACCGTCGTTCATTGAAATCGTAAAAAATCTTCGAATATGTCAGGATTGTCGTATGTTATTGTCATTGAATATATTTATATTCTATTCACATTTATATTTAGATACAGCAATTAAACTAATAGCTCAAATTCATCAATGTTCCATTGTTATTCACGATGCAAATCGTATTCATCATTTTGATCTCACTGGAAAATGTTCGTGTAACGATTATTTTTGAAAAATGAAAAACGAAAAAAAGAACTAATTGAGAGTGAACAACAATGGGAAGATAAAAATTGATGAATAAATCAAACGATTCAGACCGTATTGTTCTGCTTATGACATTTGAATATTCGATCGTTTTTCACTGTTTATCTATTTGAGAGGATAATCATCTTTTTCTTTCTATGATATTTCGAGGTGATCCACATCGACGAAATGATACTCATTCAATTCTATAGTTTACGTATAAAATCTACACAGATTAATGCTGACAATGCTTCTGATGTATCAGTCAACGATACCGAGACTTTTATTTTAGGCGTGTCAGCCTTCTCCGGGGAGCAGAACGGATTTCGAATAATCAATCGAAAGCAGAAATCTTCTTTTTCTACTCTACTAAACAGTTTATTTCAAATTCAAATATCAAATCTAATTTTCTAACAACTAAAACGATGTCCATTTGATGTAAACATCATTTTCAATCTGTTCAACAGTAAAATCATCAAGTAATTGATTTTCTCTGATGCATTTTGTTAAATATTCATCCATATTATTGTTAATCTTTGGCATCGTGAATGATAATAACCGTAGTTTATCCTCCGCTTTTGATTGAATTTGAGTTAAAATAAGTCCAACAAGTGATTCGGCATGTTGACAATCTTTGCAATGAAGATGAAGATGAGAAAAACAAGAACAAATCAGCATTAAGAAATGAACGTCTGCCCTTTAATGAATATCATTGAAAGAAAGCTTTTTCAAGCGATCTCGATGTAATAATGAACATAATAGTTGAATTTCTTCATCAGAAGTGTATTGCGGATCGAGAAATTCTAATCGAAACAATGATAACGTTTCGATATCCGGTAAAAGAAGCAAAATTCGATGCAAATCTTCGAAAGAAATGGCCAATGAGATTTCTAAATGATAAATTTGTGTAACAGATAATGCATGAAGAATATGTTCATTAGTTGTGATTGTTTTGACCCATTTTTCAAGTGATAAATCCTGTATTTCGAATTGTATTCAAACCAGTTTTTTCTAAAACGAAATGTCAATTAAATGACGAAGATTTCTATTTTGCCATTTTTACTTATATGGTTTAATTGAATAGATTAAATTTTCGAAATCATTTTCAACTTTGAATATCCATCGGTTTTCCAGCCAATATGTGGAACTAAATTCATTCTGTTCTCCAAGATACATCGGTGTGGGATAATCATCAACAAAATGAACAGTTTTTTTTTCAAGTAAAACTTGTCCAATTGTGGTAAATTTGCTCGAAGGAAATTTTCCCATCGTTTAACATTGAGATATGACATATACCTTCATGTTGGACATTTAATGATAAATTTGTTAAATTGGATGCGAATTTCCTCATAAACCTGTTCAAATTCATCAAATGTCATTCGATAAATGTCCATTGAAAGTTTTGTTAAGTTCTTTAATTGGATCGGTTGTTCAATTGTGTTGAAATTCTCTGGATCAATTGGATTTAAGAATTTCAAATGGCGTACTTTCGGTGTATATGATAATATAGAGTAAAGAGATGCTTAATAGAACAGGCATGATCCATAATGAAATCTTCGATCGATGTTTTTTGTTGATCAGTTGCTTCTGGTAAAGAAATATCAATATCAATATCGTTGCTATCCATTGTTCGATATTTGAGATATTTCAATTTGGGTAAATTGAAAATTGACTGATAAATATCGACATGACTTTGTTTTTCAATCCACGAATCAATGGTTAAGGAAAAGAAGTTAGGTAAATAAGTTAACTCTTGAATAAGTGATGATAAATGATATGATTTAATAGAATAAAGAATAAGTGATGATAAATGATATGATTTAATAGAATAAAGAATAAGTGATTGAAGGGATTGAAGGGATTGAAAAGATGACAAGCGAGACTGAATTGTTGAAATGATTTCAGGTGTATTTTCATTGAATGAATGAATCGATATGATTTGATGACGATTATCATCTACTTTTAATCGTGTAAATGAACAATTGAGAAGTGATTGAAAACGATGATTAAGATTGAAAAATCCATGAAAATCGAATAGGCATCTAAATACTCGAAGATTTCAATGAAGATTTCGTCGGAGAGATGTTCAATTGTTCGTATCGACATATCTTTTTCGTAATGAATAAAAATCGGGGAGAAAAGTTTGTTTACTATAGATGTCATTCATGTTTCGTTTTCCAAATCTAAATATGAATCATCATTTGAATTAAACAAAGAATATCGATCGAATAAAGTTTATTTTCAAATAGATCTTCGACGAAGAAGGAATGGTGAAACTAACAAAAAAAGATTTTCAAGATTATTTCGTCAAATTCGTGGCTGAATGCTTTGCTACATGTATTTTGATTCTCATTGGCGAAGGTGGAATTGCTAATTATAAATTTGCTCGTCAACCAACTCATTCGACGTTCCCAATTAGTCGTTCCTTTGCTGCGGGAGTTTATTCAGGTTAATATGAAACTGCGAATCAAATTTGTTTCATTTCTTTGTTTTAGCTCTGATGATCGCTGGTTCAATTAACGGTAAAATCGAAATCTTTTCTCGTTATCAGAATCAACTCGAGTTGTTTTAGGTGTACATTTAAATCCGGCTGTGAGCATTTCATTGTTAACCATCAAGAAGATGGAACCAGTTCAATGTTTATTTTACGTCGTTGGGCAAATTTTAGGCGCACGGTGCTGTTCTTGTTTATACGGTATATCGAAATCAATTTAACGAATTTGATGGAGGAATAAGACAAATGACTGGACCCAATGGAACAGCGGATATCTTTTTTACAATGTCTGGCAAAGGCGTTTCATATTTCAATACATTCATTGACCAAGTTATCAGTACTTCCTTATTAATGATTTATATCATGGCCATTACTCATGTAAATCCGAAAACAAACATCTCATTCTTCAAATTCGTTTCCCTTTTTTTTCTAGAAGAAAAATCATCTGATATCCAAAGTGGCGAAACCATTTGCATTTGTTCTTATCATCATTGGAATAACATCTGTGCCTTTTCAGTCAATGCTGGGCCAGCATTAAATCCTGTACGAAACCACTTTGATTTGATAGGTTTTCAATATCAGTGTGAAGCTAGCACGAAGGAGGTAGCGCGAACAAACGATGTGTTAGGTAAAAACTTGTTTACTAAGTATGTCCCGTCCATGAAAACTACACCATTCGACTCAGAATTTAATTCTGCATCGAATGGTGGTACTTTTATTCACCGGAAAAACTTTGGAAAAATTCTATCTGAATTATAAATAGACCTAAACGAAACGAAGAAAGATATAGATAGAAAAATTTCCAAAGTTTGTCCGGTGAATAAAAGTGCCACCATTCGATGCAGAATTAAATTCTGAGCCGAATTGTGTAGTTTTCATGGACGGGACATACTCAGTAAAAAGGTTTTTACCTAACACATCGTTTGTTCGCGTTAGCTCCTTCGTGCTAGCTTCACACCGATATTTTTTGGCGGGTAAATGTATAATCGTTGCTAGTGGTGGCATTGGTGCATTGTCATTTTGTATTGCCTTCCATCGGTTACTCGATGCCAAAGTCCAGCCACCACCATCGATTACTATTTATGAACGTGACACGGCAATCGATGCTGTTGGTCGTGAAGGCTATTCATTATCGATCCGTGGTGATGCATTCAGTGGAGGTATGCAAACTCTACAGAAACTAGGTATTCTTGATGAAATGATTGCTGTGAGCAATCCAGGAGATTATTTTACACTTTTTGATAAGGATTTTTCTCCGCTGGTACAATTTCGAACACAACCTGTTGAAGGCTTACCGCAATCAAACATGCGTATCGCGCGTTCAAAGCTACGAGAAATTCTTATAAAAAATCTTCCTCCGTCCGTTATTATGAACTGGGACAATGCAGTCAAATCAGCACATGAACTTGACAATGGACAAATCTCGATTGATTTGGCAGATGGCTCACAAGAGAATTGTGATCTACTTATCGTTGCTGACGGTTCAAATAGTGTGGTTCGAAGAGCACTACGACCTGAACATACTTGGAATTTCATAGGTGTTACTTCTATTCTTGCACGTACGCATGCTCTAGATAAACTGCCTGCTCCCTTAGAGAAAACCTTTGGTGGTGCTATTGGCGGCGATGGACATTTTGCTTTCGTTGCATCATCTGATCAAACAAGTGCTCTGTGGAGCGTCAGTTATTTATGTGGCTCGCCTCGTGAAGCGAAATCGGCTGGAACCATGAATGACAATGAGATCGATGCAGTTTTAGCTGAAGTGAGAGAACGAACGAAAGTATTTAGTGAACCAATTCGTACATTGATAAACGAAACATTGCGAAGTAGCGTTGCTGTATTCAATGCTAAAGATATTGTTCCTTTTCGAAATCATGGATCGGTTATTTTTATCGGTGATGCTCAGCACTCAATGAGTCCATTTGCTGGCAATGGAGCAAATATGGCGATTATGGATGGATATCAGCTTGCAGACCAATTAATTCATGCTAAAGATTTGAGCACAGCCGTTAGAGTTTATGACGATTTAAATATTCCAAGATCGAAACGTGCCATTGACATTAGCCATCGAAGTATAACTATAGGACATTCACAGGGAATATGGAAATACATGTGGGTTGGAATAGCTCGAATACTTGGATGGTACTTTGGTCTAAGTTACACAGACACTGAAAAATCGAACTAGATGTTGTTTTTGTCATTGTAAGACATTATTTTTCTTAGATCTATACGAACCTATTAGCTATAAGAAGCTTTGTTTTCGTTTCATTTTAATACTGCCATCGAACGTAGATAGTGCAAAAGTGCAAATAGCTGTTCTATCGTTATCACTACTTAACTAATAGAATGATGCATCATTAAAAAAAAAAAGCAGATATGCACTACATTTTAACCTCACACAAGAGAACATTTAACCGTTATATAACGATCTCATAGTACATCGTCCTCATAATTAACAATTGGTAATTTAAATTGATCATGGATTCAATCTCTTTAACAAGTTTTAATCATTGGACGATAATGTGTACTATGTTGAAGACAATGCAACAACTACGATAGTCTAAAGTTTATTATGCGCACAACTCATACTGACCAACACGTTTGAAACGAACGAATGTGATAAGAGAATGTGGAGAGAATGGGTAAAGGTATGGTGTCTATTCTTTTTCACCATTGGTCGGTACAGTAGTGAGTAGTTATGCGACGAACTTTTTATTGTCTCTCGGCGTGCATGGTGAGTAGCAATGAGAGAGAGAAGAAATTTTACTCTTTCGTTTATATAAAAGAAAATGAAAGCTTTTTATCCGTTCTTTTCTTTCTATTGAAAAATGAAAAACATTCAAACAATGACGTATTCGAAGAAAATGGCAAAGATAGATCAAAAGTGAAGTTTCATTCTAATTAATAGAATGGTTCATGATTGCTATTCACTAAAGTCTGAAGTAATAAATCGTCAATGATTCATCTATGTGATTTCTGTCATTTATCAAAGATACTAATCACAAGTGACGTTTTAATAATACTGTTTTTTTTTCTTTTCTCGACTTCCTCGATGTGTCATTCGATTTACGAGTATCATAAAGTCAAAGATTTAATACTTCAATTGACTCTTTACTCTATCTGAAACAGAAATCTTATCATAAATCCGCTAACGTTTAAAGCTCTGTCTTTCAATGAAGAAGTAACGACCAAAACTCGAATACGAAACATCAAACAACTAATTGCACTTCGTCTCGATTTCAAAGGAAAAAAAGAGTTGTATTCCACTTTGATAGTTATTCTGTCGCTCTGGACTTCTCTAATGGCTCTGAACTTGACATGTTTGAATGTGACTGTCCCATTGCCTATCATACCGATAGGTAATAATATGACAATTGTTCCTAGTCATTCCGATTATAATCCAAACGGAAAAGCGATTTCACAATTGATATCATCTTCATTGGCACGTTCGACTTTCTCCACATCGGATATTGAGTCAATCTTAAACACGTTAACATCGGATGGTACGAATTCACTGAACTTACCTGCTCTGACTAGTATGAAACCAGTCAAATCGACCATTATCTATGGGAGCGTCACGTTATTTTTATTTCTAACACTTTCATTGGTATTCTACTGTATTTCATGTACCAACTGTTGTCAAGCCAAGTCAATTCAAGTAGATACCGAATCTTGGTTTGAAAAATCGATAACGTTCTATTTTTCTTGAGGACTATTCACGATCCAAACAGAGAAAATGTTCACGACAATGTGTTTCAGTCGTTGTCATTTTGTTAATTGGGCTGATAGTTCTTGGCCAAATGATTTACATTGCATACTATGTCAATAGAACGACCACATTTCTTGATAATTCGATTCAAGAGTTCAATCAAGAGATGTATCCAAAGGAAATCGGACTTTATCTAGAGCAGCTTCTTCAACAATTAAAAATGCTCGATGCATATTCAATGCCAAGTATGTACGGTTATCAATAATTTAAAATGAACGTTCATCAATCTGTAGACAGTACAATTATTATCGATGCATCTAGATCGATGTTCCTCAAATCGTTCAATGACATTCTAAAAGAGCAGTATTTTCTCAATATAATTCAGCAAACAATCAGTTCTAATGATATGCACATCGACGAATTAAGTACATTAATTGATCAAGAATCAACGTCCTCGCCAGTTGCCACAAGTATCGTTGATGAAATTACAAAACAGCATGAAGAAATGGCTGATGAACTTGCAGTACCACTAGCAGAACTCTGTGCTTTTGTTGATGGAAAAGATACAGATATTGATGCGATAATTTTAGATTCGCTGTCTCTCGTTCACGAGCAAATAACAAAAATAACTAACATAATAGAAACAGATTTTCTTAACTATATGAAACCATGGGCAGATCATGTGTTGATAAAACAGGAACTTGAGAATCAAATTCGATACTATACTCGGCTTGCAGGAACTATTTTACTAGTGCTGATTATTATATTTGGTTTAATTCCAGTTGGTTTATTCACTGTCATCATTTTGTATCATTGTCGGCAAAGACATGTAGTATCAAAATATCGGTTAGTTGATTAAAGTTGTTTTCTGGGGTGTTTTTTTTTTAAGAATTATTTTTAGTAGAAGAGATGACGATGGACAAAGTTCAACCGGACGGTCCCACTCATCAATAGTGCATAGCGACTTTTCAGCTGAATCGTCGTCAAGTGGAACAATATGTTGGTTGCGAATCATCTTCATACCAATAATAATCATCTTAGTAATGATTATTCTTCTTTCAAGTCTATTCTACGCTGTCGATCTCTTTGCGCAAGGTGCATGTCGGACAGCTCACGAGGATGACACGTTTCTTATTCCATTTCTTATCGGTACAAAAATTTCGTTTCGTTTTCCTGAGTTCAAGACTAATTTTTCCATCTAGATGAATTACTTGGATCGAATTCGAGCGATGTGATGATCCCTGGACTAGATATACAAACGACATTCATGAAAATAGTTGATGATTGCCGACATGAAACACATTTCAGTAGGCATTTCTTCACTAGTCATCTACGTCGTCTTCATGAAGACGTTTATAAATCAATGAATCAACTAAATAACAAAATTAGTCAACAATTTAACGCTTCAATAGCTGCTATCAATATCCAAGACGATATAAGTCTTCTGGGCAACCTTAGCTCATTATTCAGTTCAGACAGTATTAGAAATCAAATCGAACAGATCCGTGAAGGTTTCGAAAAGCTGCAACAGCAGTTTAAAAATATAACTGCTGCTACTCCTACAATACCACTTGATACTGTCAACCAAACAATTGATAATGTTAGTATTTGTACAAAAGGAAGATGAAATAAATAAATATGAGATTTCTTTATTGCATTTTCAGTTTGAAGCTTATGTACAAAGGATGATAGAATCAACAGTCGATACTTGTCCTCTACCGTTGGCTACCATCTACAAAACAGACATATTTGTATGCCATCAATTCGCTGCAACGATCAACGGACTCTGGTTCAGTTTATTTCTCTACATGCTTTTTCTTATATTAGGTCTCGCTATCGGTGGTTTATGTGTTTACAAACAACTGTAAGTTCCTTGTTTTGTTCTTATATTAAATACTATTCCTTATTGTTAATTGATTTAGACGGGTAACTGCGAATACTGAATCAAGAAATATAGACTTGATGAGATCTCAGTTCTAATACAAGACCTTTGTTGAGAAAAAAAACGAACTACGAAATGACATATACTGTTGTAAAATGGTTGAAATAAATGTGCAAAATATTTTGTTCGATGACTTATATGCGAAATAGGCGAGATATGTCTAAAGTATGAAATAGCATCTATAGAAAACGCTATAAGTTAATATGACGACCTTGTCAAGTGCATTCTATTTTGTCTCCACTTTACTCCTGTGGCTCTTTTTTATCCCACACTAATATGATGTGCATACAAATAAGTCTGAGCTCTATACTGTGCATCAAGAATCTGTAAACTAGATACTTTTAGTGTAACAAATCTGTACTAGCAGAATACCCTTATATATAGACTCCACAAAATTGCTTACAAGACACGATGCTGCATAGAAGTTTGGAAACGTAATTCAAGTTACAGATTGTAATGACTTAGCATGGATACAACTATGATCGGTGTCTTTTTTTTCTCATTAAACAGGTATGTCATGTGACCCTATAAAATTCCGATAATATTCGGAGAATAACTTTATTTCGACTTAGGGATTGTTAACTAATACTCCATTATTTTTTTAATTAGTAATAGTTTATTTGTTTTGTATATTCACTTTTGTAAAATACATATTGTTTTCTGTTTTTGTATGCACTGTTATGACATTAATGGTGCCTGGCGACGTAGTATTCACCAAAGTTGGTTGTGGTTCCGAGCGAAGAAATCGTACTAAACCCATTTTTTCAACTAACCAACGTCGTCCAGTATGTAAACAACGTTTCGCTTCCAAGCGGAAGTTTGAACCAGTGAGTGTATAAATGTAAAAGCCAATCGTAGCATTCGTAGTGTAAAGGAGCAAAGCTAAATTACTTGCACAGTTGTAAACTACCTGTTCTAGTATGGAAGGTCTATGTCGTGTCATGATTAAACCGAATGCATAATACATGCAAGTGCCCGCATAGGGAAATGAGATTAAAATGGTAATCAATACTTGAAATATTAGCATAGTGGTCAGTTGCCGGTTACTTGAACGTAAACGATCATTTCGTGCAATGTCAGTGTCTGCAACAACACGATTGTGAGCATTGTGAACAATCAAAAGACCAAAAATAAACACCAGCGCTAGCGGTAGAACACAAGCAACGATAGGCCCAAAGAAATTAAAGAAAATAAAGTAATCATAGGACAATATCGTACAAACCAGTTCATAACCGGTCCAAAGAGATTCGACAAAAACGAATATATGTACATGCAGTAGAACAAATACCACACCGATACCTAAACTAACTCGTCGTGCTATTGATGGTGTACTCAGTCGACGAAATCGGCGGGTTTTTGACGATGAAAGAAAACGATCGATACTAGCAAGAGTAGGAAACCATAACATGAGAGAAGATGGTACATATTGGCCAATAACCTGTAGTTTGCAGACGAAAACACTTTTCTGTAACAGATTCACATTCCAGCTAACTGACAAATAGGGGACCAAGATATATACAAAAATTAGAAAAAA